TATATATATATATCAAAAATAAATTAGATTTTGCATCATTGTCTATCTAGCATCGTGAAATTGGCCTCTGTCTCTTTAAGAACCTCCTACCATTTCCAACACTCCCACTTCAGCACATCTTCACAACAATGCTTTGGGGGAGGGGTGCTCTGTGGGGCAGGAGTTCAGCTGCAGACTGAGCTCCAGGGAGGAGCTAGGTACAAATAGGCAGAGCTTTGTACCAGCAAGCGTTTAGGAAGCTCCACGTTTCTACAGGAGATTAATGAATGAGTCAAAGCAAAACTCTGGGTATATTTTTAGATGAGGGAATGACATTATAACATGATATAATACTCCAAAAAGTCCATTTTGCATAATTACCCCCACCCCCACTTAAGAAATTTGCCATCATACATGTCGTGTGTTTTCAAGAGCAAAATATTGTAAGTTGTTTCTCAGTTCTTCACCACATTTATTACATACCCACCATATAATCCAGAATCCCCCCCAGACTCAGCACTGCATTTTTACACAGGTTGCAGCTCTACAGTTTCGTATGAGAGAACTGGAAACAGCTGAGCATGAGAGCCAAGAGTTGCTGCAGGAAAAAGAAGCCTGTCAGCAGCAGAGTGACCAGAGGCACAGAGAAACGACTGCTCTGCTTCAGGCAGCTCTTCAGGAGACCAGGGCCACAGTCAAAGAGCTCAGTGTGAAGGCTGGTCTTGCTGAAAACCGAGCCAAAGGTCTTGAGGAGCAGCTGAGTGTGAGCAAAGCCAAATGCAGGGACCTGGAGCACCAGCTGGTGGGTCTGTATGCAGGTCTGCGCTCCACTGTTGATGGCCATCGTACAAGGCTTTCTGAAAGAACAGGTTCACCAAGACGGTCTCCTTCTCCCCGGAGAAGAAACCTGCATGTTAGAGGTAACTTTGAGCTCTGCTGCTGTCATCTTTGACCTCACTGAAAACAGGCAAACTGTGGAGTGTGGTCTCCTTTCAGGAAGAGAGAGCGTCTCAGGGGGATCTGTGTTCTTGTCTCATGATGAAGATGAAGAGTTGAATTTGGAATCTGTGCTCACAGCCGTGCAGGGCTTCCAGAAAGAACTCTGGGACACACAAAGAGAACGGGTAGAAACAAAAACGAAAACCATTAACACTCAGAGCCTACACTTCATAGTTACTACATCTTAATGATGCTTAAAAGTTTCCTGTTCTTGCTTTAGGATGAAGCCCAGGTCCAGATAGTCAAACTGAGTCAGGATGTGACAGAACTCAAAACGTCTCAGGACAAGTCCACCACTCAGCTGCTGCAGCTGCAGAGGTCCCTGAGGCAGTCAGAGGAGGGTAACACATCCTACGACTAATCAGGAAACAACGATTGCTCATTGGTTTGCATGTTTTATAAATAATGAAAAAATGTTGTTTCAGGAAAACGACAAGTGGAAGAAGAGTTGCAAAAAGTGCACGCTTCCCTGTCCTCGCAACAGGATGTAGTGCATCGTTTAGAGCGGGACAAGAGAAGCCTCGAGGCTGAGCTGACTCAACTCAAAACCTCTTTGCAAACTTCTCAGACTGAGTCCCGGACTCTGCAGGTTTGTAGTGAAGGATGAAGAAATGTGCTGGCTTCTCACACACAGTGGGGTTTGTGTCTCACCAGTGGAGCAGTGGTTCCCAACAGGGTTATTATACTTCACTAAAACTAATTAAATAACGAAAACTGAAATTGAAAAAAACATTTTAGTTAATTAGAATAAATAAAAACTGTAATAAAATGAAAAAAACGATAACGAATTAAAACTATACATGTTTTACAAAACTAACTAAAACAAACAAATTAAAGATAGAATATCCTTAAAGTTTTTATCAGTTTTTTTTTAGATATGTGGATATTTTATTTATTTATTTTTTCAAATCAAGTAGTTTCACATTAGCTGTGGGCAGCTTACAGCACCTCATGGTTCGTAACAACACTTGTTTACAGTCTGCTGCTGCTCAGCATCACCTGCTGAATGACAAAAACAAAAGTTGGGAGAAAGCGTCCACTTTGGGATTTCTTTGAATATGACTGAGAAAAATAAAACAAGTGTCTTGTAGTGGAAACTGGTGATAAAACAGGTGGAATACTTCTTAAGGGAAAAACTGCATGAATCAAACTCACAGGAGATGGTTAACTGTAACTATCTTGACACGCAAGATTCTCTCAGTAGCTCCTATGATAAACTAGCAGCAGGTAGCGCCGGGTTGGAGACAACTATTGTCATCGTCCTAAAAAAATCACCCAAGTCCTTAGTTGGCAAAATTGAGTTATGCAATTATTTTATGAAGGTGTTGCTATAATGGACTGCTTTAACTAGTGACCAAATAGCTGCTGGTTAGTTAACTCACAGGAACATCACAAGCTCGAGGATGCATTGGCAAAAAAACTATAAAAAACTAATATTAGAACTAATAAAAATTATGCTAAACTAAAACTAAGCCTTAAAAATGCAATAATAACTAATAAAAACTAGCAAATCCACTGTAAAAACTAATTAAAACTGAATTAAAAGACAAAAGTCACAGTGAAATAAAACTAAACTGTAATGAAAAATTAAAAACTATTATAACCTTGGTTCCCCCCCAAAAAATAAAATAAAATAAAATAAATCCCTCGCTCCTCTTTTGAAAACCTCTGAGCAGACCAGCTTATGCCCCGCCCCCAGGCTGGGAACCACTGGTGTCCAAATGTTGCTGTGTCATGGTTCTGTGTACCAAATCTTTCTGCTGCATCATTGCACAATCAGTTTACATTTCCTTAATGGTCATAAACACAAAGTTTTGTCCAATTTGTTGTTGGTTTGATTAAAAGAAGCCCTGACGATTTTGCAACTCAAGCATTTAATCGCTAATAAAACAAATGAAATAATCTTAAGCTACAAAATAAAAGGTTTCTCGTAAATTATTACGCAAACACTGAAATGTTGATATAAGAATAATCACCGACATAAACCTCTAAATATCACGCTGCTGCAGAGCTGCTGTAGCTGCAGCTCAGATGCAGCTTCTTTAAATGAAAATCACCATGTTCTTCACATTCAGTAAAGCTGGATTAAATCAATCGTACCAAATTTCTCCACAGGACAAGTTGGAGATCCTGCATGTTTCAGAAACTTCTGCAAATGCAGAAAAACAGAGGCTGAAAGAGTCTCTGGAGGCAGCAGAAAGCAGAGTGAACCTCCTGGAGCTGTCCCACCTCACCCTCGAGGGTGAGCTGCAGCGGGCCCAGCTGAGGGCAGCAGAGGTTAACGCAGAGGCCGGGGCCCTGCAGGACAGGCTCACAGACACCAGGAGGAAACTGGGGGAGAGCCAAGATCGATGCGCAGCACTGAGAGTCAGAGAGGAGAGGCTGACCACATCACTGACTCGGGCCGAGCAGCATGAGAGCAAGCTGAGAGAGCAGATTCACAAACTCTCAAACAGCCTCAGTGACAAAGAGACGAGTGCAGGAGTTCAGCAGGAGCAGATAACTGAGCTGCAGAGGACTCTGAGTGCCAGTGAGCAGGACCGAAGGCTGCTGCAGGTACAGACTGTCACCCACATACACCCATTACTCACAGACAGAAAGCTCTGCAGGACACATGTTCTGGGTAGAGATGGTTTTAAAGGAAAGCTTTTCTGTTTCAATCAAACAAATCTTAAGGCTGCAACCCATGTGTCAAAAACAAGGCCCGTGGGCCAAATTTGGCCTGCAGTTGTTTTCTGCCTAAAAGCCCCCCTTCAAATTATCTTTTTCCTAATACAAATATATATTTATATCAATGTTAAACTTTAAATTTATGTTTGTATACAACAAAATAAACTAATTTAAAAGGTGGGTAATAATATTTGTCCTGCCCCTGAGCTGTAGGTTTTACTCTCTGAACAAATCAGTTGCATAATCCTGTATTAATGTCTCAAAATAAACTGCGTTAAAGCCAGCATCGATCATAAACTACATCTCCCATAATGCATGTTGATTATGTATGAGAATTCCCTGCAGGAAAGTGGGAGAGTTCAAAATTCAAGACTCACCACAATTCAGTGAGTAAATCTCTTACTTTTACTTTTAATGGTATTTCTGTACTATTTATTTCACATTTAGTCAGTTGTACACGTAGTACTTTCCAGTGTTTGTAAGAGTACGTGTTAAAACACTGTTTCTGTGTAGGAAATACCAGGTAGAGCTCAGTTAGTGTTTTTTAGAGGTGCTCAGTTGTAGCAATGAGACGAGGAACATGACGTTTTGTGTTTAGTTGAAGTTAAACATGACATATTAAAGTTAATTACAACTGGCCCTCAGTGAAAATGAGTTTGACACTCCTGGTCTAAAGTGTGTTTTTTCATACTTTAAATTTTTCACACACTAAGGAGTTTTGAATGTAACTTCAGAATAGAAAATAATTGACAGTCCATCTAAGATTCTGATGTTCCGATATGTTTGTTGAATGGCTCTCTAATTCTGAGAGTAATGGAGTACTCATTTACATTTTCCTGAACTGTTTACACTGGCTGTGTTAGTAAACATCCATGTAGAAATATGCTGGTGATGAAGATTCTCTGCCCTCCGGGTCACTATCAATTTAAAAGAAGTTAAAAAACAAAACTGGACTTGAAGCCGAAGATGTTTCGAAACATCTTCAGCTTCAGAATAGAAGTCCAGTTGTTTTGATTTTAAACTTTTTTTAAAGGTGCAGAAAAAAGTTTAAAAAGCTACATTTTTTGTTTAAAATGCATTTTATAAAAACCCTTTTTAAAGGCACAGTGACTAGTGAGAGTGCTGACTAGTTGAAACTTAAAACTGCTCATAAAAAAACATAAATGATAGGCGATGCTCTGTTAATTCCTCAGTGTTAGAAAACATCCCTACTCTCATCTGCAGCTTCAAACAGTAAACTCAAACAGGAACAAAATGCAAATCCATCTTTGAAAGGTTGTGTTTCAACACGTTTGTGCCCACAGGAGCATCTGGATCAAACACGAGATGCTCTTTCAGAGAGCAAGCGGCTGAACCACTGTCTCACCGAGCAGATCCAGGACCTTCAAAGAGCACAAGTGGACTCAGATCTCAGAGTTTCTGCGCTGGAGAAACACAGCAGGACACTGAAGGCGGTGAGTCACGCCGTCTGAGTGTAAATAAATCAGAAGCTGAGGTTGTGTTTTGATGCTTGCTTTGACTCACTGTGTCCCAGAGCCTGAAGCAGCAGCTGGAGGCTCAAACACAAACTTCCCAGCAGCTGCAGAGAGACAAAGAGGGTCTCCAGGAGAAGCTCAGCAGCCTGCAGAGCTCCGTGCAGAAGCTTCAGAACCACAGAGCAGAAACAGAGCAGGTCCTGACCCGCTTCAGCAAAGACAAGTCTGCTCTTAGAAGAACACTAGAGAAGGTGAGCCGACTCACCTGCAGAGTGGTTTGACCTTTTCAAAATGCACTGAAAATCCAACAACCACAGAGTATTTGACTGTTTCTGCTCGATGAGCATAAAAACAAGTGAATATGAGGTAAAACATCTGAACAACATGTGACAGCCAAACCACAATTGGCTTCAAATATAATTAAAGACTCTTGAATTTAATTCTACAACTGCTGGAAGCCTTTTATACAGAAGAGGCCAGAACTGAAGTAATATGTATTTAGTGCTGGTCAGGGGCCTTGTAGACTTACCCATTATACATAAAAGAGCACTTATATTAATCCTGCAATGGGCCAGTAATTTGTTGTTTTTATTTCTTTTTTATTTATTTATTTATTTATTTATTTATTTATTAGCACACTGTGTAAAGTGTTTGAAAAGGTAGGAAACTGCTGGGTTTTGTGACACATGAAGGCACATTATTGTTAAAAAGGGTCAAGGTAAAGTTGTTTACCGTGTTTCACCTCTGTGCTGTTGGTAGGTAGAGATGGAGAGGCTGAGGAAAGAGGAGGAGGCAGCTTCTGCTGCCAAAGAGAGAGCGCAGTTGGAGCAGACGATCTGCAGCTTGGAGCAGGAGCTGACTGGAAAACAGGAAATGCTGGAGGCTCTACAGGTGAAAGGTTGCAGAATTACGGGGCAGAATTAGGAAACTCTAAGCAGTACTTACACATACTTATGTGTAATTGTGGCCAGACGCTTACTTACTTACACTCACGGGCATTAAAGTTGTGTTAAATGCAAGCTTTTAATGGTTTATTTGAATTGTTCTTTTCAACTTTGATGATTTTTAAAAACAGGAATTCAGTTTGAATTTATTGTGGAGTTTTCTCAGACCAGCATACATTCACCTCAATGTTTTATTGTTGTTAAATATAGTAGAATGTGTTTAGACTTGCCAAGGCTTATTAAAGGGATCCATGACTAGTTGTAACATTAGACTTTATTTGATAAAACATTTATTTTAACTGTAAAATAAAGACTGTAAAAATACTGTAGACTGTGTAGTTTTACACGGAAAGGGCCATTTTATTTATACTCAAAGCATTCTGGGTAAATGATGACGTGGATAGGTCCTCGGTGCGAGGCTGCTAGCGAGCTATATCCACCCTGAAGGTTAATGTTGGACAATATCTGACGATTGGCTCTTTTAAATGAAACCAGAGAGCGTTGACAGAGAGGAGAAGGTAGAAATGACTCAGCCTGCAACTGAAAATATGGATGAAGGACCTCAGTTTAGCTTGCTTGTTTGTCACGCTAGCACTGAGCTAATACATATAAGGTAATATAGCGTCAGTGCTAGCGCGAAGGCTAACAGGCTAAGCTGAGGTTCATGCATGGATAAAGCTGACGTTAACATCACGGCCTTCCCAAAACTTCAACCTTACTGTTACTTAGAGACCTGTGCTTAAAAGAAAAATATCTGACCAAAACCAAACAGTTTAAATGAACTTTGACAGTTCTACCAAAAGGAGTGGCCACAGATCATTCAGAACTATGTCCTGAAGCTTATTAGTGGTGTGGCTGAAAGTTGTTTAACCAAATATTCATGGGAATGTATGTATATATTTGAACATGAATGTATATTTTGAACATGAATGGTTTGGAGAAAGTCTACAATAAATTTAAACTTGTGAACCTAATTCTAGTTTTTAAAAATCCTATGTTGTATAATCATTTATCCCTGGAAAAATATTAAAATAAACTGTTTAAAGCCCAGATTTATTAAAATATTTATGTCCATGATGAGTAAACAAAACCTTCTGACCACAACTATATATTTACTGTTCATCTTTCTTAATTTCTCAAATAAATACCCTATAAGTGACGAAACAAATGATCACCACACATGCATAAAATGTCCATTTTTTTTAAACTCGGTGAGAATATTGATTACTAATCCAGTTACGCCAGGCCTTTAAACTTCCTGGGTTTCCTCCTGAACTTCCGAGCAGTTGTCTGTCTTATTATTTTCAGTCATGTAGTTTTAAACAAACTGTCGTCAGACTCAGATCTTCCAGCTGGAGCGCGCTCATGCACAGCACCTCCTGGAGGTTACAGCCCATCATCACCAGGAGCTGGACCTGGAAACAAACCGTCTGAGGGACAGTCAGCTCCAAGCAGAACAAGCCCTGGAGTCCAGGGAGAGGGCTCACCGCCAGAGGGTCAAATGCCTGGAGGGACAGGTACAATTACTCCCACTTTTTAAGAAGAATAGAAACTCTTTCTTGATCTGCTTCAGTTTTTTCTTGGTTTTCCACAGGTGCTGACTCTCAGAGAGCAGCTTGACCAGGAGACGAGAAGACAGCAAGCGTATTTCAACCAGGTGCTTCAGCCCAGAGTGTAGGCAGTGATACTAACAACTGTATGTTTCCAGCCACACTCGGAAGCACACAAACACTCTCCCGAAGCATTTGAACCCCTCCAAGCAGCAGCACACGTGCACACACGGGATTACATTAATCTGCAGGAAAGAAACTCAACAACAACAAACAATAAGTGTTTTGTTTAGAAGTGAACTGGATGTGCCTAATTGTGTTTAAGAGTTTTCATGGCTCTGCGCTGCGATGAATGTGACAAGAGGTGACTGTTTGTGTATTCATCATTGTATCCGATTTACATGTCATCATCCTATTCTGTGTATTTAATAATGAATGAAACAAATATTTAGATCAATTGATTGCAAACTTGATTTAGAATCTCAGGATGACTCTAGTGGAATTTTCTGTGCTGTTTTGACTTAATCATTGTTAGTGGAGCAAAATACTGACGAGTTCAAATAAAAACAAATGTAACCGTGCATATAAACACAGTATTGCAGGGCTATTCAACTGGTGGCCCACAGGCCGGATGTGGCCTGCGAGTGACTGAAGTTCGGCCCGCCAATCTCTGAAGTCCAAACCCCTAGTTTTCTACTTTAATAACTCAAAGTTATTTTAATTAAACATAGGCATGTTTGGTATCTACAGAAATGACAAAAATCTTGACTACAAGCTGGTAAAAACCATTTCTATGATTACTTAAGACAGTTAAAATTACAAGCAGTTGAAGATAAAACTATGAAAGTGAAAATAAAATTGGTTTAAAATTTGGCAAATCAGAGATGATGAACTTATTGTAGTGTTAAACAGGAGGCAGAATGTTAATTTTATAGGTTTCTGTATGTTGTATTCATGATTAAATGCAGCAAAATAAACTATTTCAAAGGGAACAGATCTTTGTAATACTTGGTTTATTTACATAAAGACTGTAAGTGCTGGCTGTTTGGCCCATCATCTGTTGACCTGCAGTAACTGTGGCCCCCGGAGTAATTTAGTTGAAAGCCCTGCAGTATTGATTCATCAAATACTTCAGATACACAAAGAATGATGACAATTCTGGTCTTTAGGGATAGAAACCTCTGCAATTTATCACAAATTAGAAGCTTTTCTGAACTTGTGTTGGTGAGAAAATGTGCATGAATGCCTGTTTTGTTTCAGTGAAGGGAGTTTCACAGATAACGAACTCTGTGAAGTTTTTTCTTAAGGATGATTTTATTTATATCAAATTTGCAGAGCCTTTAAGCTCTTAACTGCTTTCTGCGCTGCCTCTCACATCTGCACTGCAACACAGCCCGCCTTGTACAGTAGTCCCACTGAAAAGGAAAGTCCTGTCAGAGCTTCTTTAAAGCGGCCCTTTGATTAACATAGACCCGCCCAGTGGTTATCCAGTTACCGGCCTCTGGTTGGCTATTGGCTGGAAGGAGCTAATTATGCAAGGTAGTGAAATCCCTGTGGGGGAGGTGGGGCCAAAACTGAAAGAACTCTTTTGGCAAACAGAATAGAGCTTTTATTGAGGATATTTCTAAGCTGACCATCAGGGACCAAATCACTGGATTGTTAAATAAAACAACATTTCAGCTGAATCACACTGCACACACCCCCTCCTCCTCCACCCCCCACTTCATTTCTTCCCTCGTTTTATTTTCAGTGAGACGGGAGTGTAGCTTATGCAGAGTCCAGCAGCAGGCAGAATGCAAGGGATCCACAGTATTCCCTGGTCTCGCACGAGGAGCTGAGCGAGCAGGAGGCAGAGCCGGGGAGCAGTCAGGTGAGGCATCCAGCTGCTGTGGCTGAGAAGAGGAACGCACCGTCCTGTCCCCGCGCTGCACTTGTTGCCTGAGGTGTGCGAGCTCCTCCCTCCCTCCCTCTGCACAGCGCCTGCTGTCAGCTCCATCCCCGGGTGGCTGAAGCCATGCTGCTGCCGCTGCGAGCCCTCCTGCTCTGCCTCTGCACCCTGCCGCCCGGGGTGGACCCCGCCGTGCCCCTGGAGGACTTCTACCCCTTCGGTGAGGACAGGGGGGACTCACAGACCATCTCTCAGGACGACGGAGGCTCTGGACTCCAGGAGATCTCTGTTGCCTTCCCCTTCTTTGGCGACCGGCACACGGGACTCTATGTGAGTACAGAGTTCAGTCTATTTTCTGCTCTCTTGTGTGTATTTTTGTGTTTTTGTATCCAGCATGCGTGTGTGTGCGCACATGGCTGCTGGCAGCTGAAGCTGACAGAGTGTGAATTGTGGAGGAAAAGACCCTCGGGGAGATGAGAGTTGGTGCGAGGCCAAACACCACATTGCTGTGCCTCCTGAGAGTTTGTATATGTTCCAGTTCTCTGTGCTCTGCTGAGTAATCTCATTTACTCAGAACATCTCCACTCACTGGTGGAATCAGGATTCCTGCTTTACATCTGCCCTCCCTGCACTCCGAGCGCTCTCAAGTGCACGAGGGGAGGGAAACCGAGAGGCAAACTATCTGAACAGCGCTAACCTCAGTTATGATAAATTCACACGTAAAAAAAAAACTGTTCAAGGAAATGACAGTTTGTGTTCAGCATCTGTGAGTAATTCTTTCTCACAAGAAGCTGAAGTGGAGAGAAAACATGCACGCCGGAGGGAGAGGAACTGTGCTCAGGGGAGGAAGCCGAATGGTTTGACAAGGATTTTCGCACACCACAGTGAAACCTCCTTTGATCTGCCTTTGTCATGCGCTGGGTTCAGTTCCAGAGATTGGAAAGGCAGAACTCCCTTAAATCAACACCACCTGTTGCGGTTATGCATCCACGCTTGCTCTCCGAATCTCCGTTTCCTCGCTTGGAGCCCTGCCCCGCCCGCCGCCTCCCCCTGTTCGGATCCCGGGCAGGAGGAGGCTGAAGAACCATGGCAACAGCTGGCAAGGTTAAAGGTTGTCTTTCTAATCTAAGCAGCCTCTTCTGTGTCACACGCAGGGGATGAACAATGTTTCTAACTGTAGCTCACCATTACAGCCTGCCTGCGCACCGCACCATGTTTCAAATGAGGTTTTCCTGTCATTAATATCCAAAAAAACTAATTAAATTTCATGTCTGAAGGTTACGAGCTGTGTCACTCAGCATATCATTAAGTGTAATTTTCTGCTCACACACAGTTTAACAGATCACAGGACTCTTTTTAAATGCCTCACCTGAATCCAATAAACATCTGGCAGAAAGCGTGTGGGCCACAGTTTGAGGAGCTGCTCTGAGCAGGTAATATTTCATTCTGGACTAAGAGGTAAATTTGTATCAATAATTTCTCCCAAGAGTGTATTCCAAGACCTGCAAACCTGCAAACGCAGGACAGCTGTAGAGCCTTTGATTGTAAGCTCTGTGTGGTCTTAACACAGCAATTAACTGTAAAAATAAATTTAAGAAAACATCCCCAAAATGTACGTTTTTTTTATGTGGCCATGGAGTCAAGGACTTCCCAAATCCTCTCAGCCTTGTGGCTACACTGATCTCTAATGTCACTTAAAAATTCCTCTGTAGGCCTGGGTCTTTCCCAACTTCCAGTCCTATTTCTGCCTCATGGTAACCAGGCTGTTTCTCTGTTATGGTTTGTATCTGGGAGTTTTCTCGTGTTGCTGGGATCTCTCCTCCTCCTCGGTGTCCTCCCTCCCTTCCTCCTACGCTCCAAACAACAAGGCAGGGGTCTCCCCCCTGCACTGTCCAGCTGTTTTATCTGAGAAAATGACCGATTGCTTTCACAGAATGCAGATGTGTCTGCAAAGAGTTTCAGAAGCTGCTCAACGATGCAGTTTACATCAATAAATTCACTTACTTTCATGCACTGGCCAATAACGTCTGTCGTTAATGGCCAGTGTATGAAAGTAAGTGAATTTATTGATGTAGCAAAATGCTTTACATACTGAAAACACTGATAAAACGTTTGAGAAGGTGAAAAAAACAATTAAAGGCTTATTATTCCTAAAGGAACTGTGCATAGCTCAATACTTTCTAAAACAGAGCTTTAAACTAATGGTCATTTATAAACTTTGCAGCATTGCGCAATCTTATGTGATATTGTGAGATGTCATGCTCAGAGTATGTGATGAATAACTCTCAGGTACTATCACATCAAGTTTTAGCTCATAAGTGTAAAACTGACTGAATACACTCACCGGCCACTTTATTAGGTACACCACGCTAGTAACGGGTTGGACCCCCTTTTGCCTTCAGACCTGCCTCAATTCTTCGTGGCATAGATTCAACAAGGTGCTGGAAGCATTCCTCAGAGATTTTGGTCCATAT